TAGTGCCTGTGGAAATCCCACAGCATTCAGCTCCTCCTCCTCCTCCTCCTCCTCGCCCGTCCCCTGCCTCCCCCTCCCCGCGCGTGTTTGTGGGTTGGGGACTGAGCAAGGAGGGGCAAACGCCTCGGCTGCTGTCGCTTCTGCCCAGCTGCGCCTGCCTCTCCGCCGCGTTGCCTGTGTGGCCTCGCCGCACGGAGTCCCTGCCCCGGCAGCCTCGCTAGAGCAGGGCGACCGACCGACCGACCGCCGTCCCGCCTGCAGAGAGCTAGCTAGCCCGCCTGCCCGCCCTCCCCGCTCTCTGGGCGCCCCTTCTTTCCCATCCTCGGGGCGAGGGGCAGCGGAGAGGCCGCCGCCGCCGCCGCCGCGGCGCCTTTTCCTCCATGGGCAGCTTGCTGAGCGGGGTCAGCTTCAAGGAGCCCACCACGGTGGAGGACTGCGACTCCACCTGGGAGACGGACTCCGAGCCCGAGCTCCAGGTAGACCCTGGCGGGGAGGAAGAGGAGGAGGAAGGGGAAGGAGGAGGAGAAGGGCCACAGCTCGAGGATGCAGGGGGCGGCGGCGGCGGCGAAGACGACGACGCAGACACCCCGGCTGAGGACGAGCAGAAGCCGCGAGAGGAACCGCTCCCTGCGGCAACCTGCCGGCCGGAAGATGCGGAGCCCCGAGAAGGGGCTGCTGAAGGGGAGAAGGAGGCAGGGGACGAGCCGATGGGAGAAGAGGCGGACCCCGAAGGGCCGGGCGCCGAAGAAGCCGAGGCCACCAGCACCGAGCAGGTCACCCGGGACCCGGGCAACTTCTCCGGAGGACGGGGGGGCGCGGAGGGAGAGGGCGTTGGGAGCCGGGCCGGCTGCCCTGTGGGCTCCGCCGCGCTTGCTCCTGCAGGGACGTTGTTTGGGGGGGAGGAAATTTCCAACGCCAAGGTTGCACGGCGTGTGTTTTTTTTCCCTTTCTTTTCCCCCCTTCCTTTTTCCTTCACCCTGCCCTCCCTTTGAAATCTTTGCATGCTGTGGTTTCAGTGTGGAGCCAGGCATGCCCGGGTCTCCTCGCCCTGGCCCCCGGTTGGGAATAAGACGAAGTAAACATCGTTGTGAGGTGCGAAGCAATTTTGAAGGAGGAGGACGAGCGTCCTAGCTTGCCCGTTTGCTGTCTTTTGTGCCAGCCTACTAAGGCGGTGTGGGTTTTTGTTTCTCTTCCTGTCACATGCGTAGCTGGTTGTGAAAGGAGGAACTGTGGCATAAGTCAGGGGATTTAGTTTTATTATTTTTTTTCCCCTTGCCTGACTGAACAGCTTGCTTTAGATCTTCTGTTGAAAAGGCTCTGGTGGTTTAAAAATGTAGAAGGTCAGAGTAATTCTAATCCACTCAGTTTCTCTGGAATAATCATCCGTATGTCCTGTCTTTCTGTCAGCAGCTTTCAATTCAGGAAGCAAAAATTATAATAACACATGTGACAGCAAAATGCCAATTGAGATTCTGGCTGAGTACGTGGCTGCTGTGATCACCTTACACTGGGCATGGGGTTCACTGTGCAGCAATGAAAGAACTCATAAGCCTTACAACTATGGAGATGCCCCAGAGAGAGAGAGAGAGAGAATTGCCCTGTGCTCTCTTTCCCACTCTTTACAGGTAGTAGTAGGCTGGTTTTGAATCTTCAGACTTCCCTGCCCATTTAAAAACATCTTAGCACACAGTGTGGATCATATTCTGAGAACCCACTTCTCCCTCTCCCAGAGGATTCTGTGGCAAAAGGAAAACTGGAGGTTCCTTTTCCACATTGCGTTTAACATACGATTGTAATTATATGCAATGTAATTGAAATTGTATGTAGTTTAGGACACATGAAAAGTGGGCCAGGTTTCATAGAGCTTTTCCAGACAAGATTAACATTTGTCTGTTTGCTCATTACTCACAGTCTTCTGATTGCTTCCTGAATTCCTTCTTGTCTTGTAGTGCAATCCCATGTGTATGTACTCAGAATTAAGTCCCACAGAATTGAGCTGATGTGCTCAGATGTGCGTATATAATGCTAGGTATTAAGTACAGAGAAGCAATGTAGAAAATTGTCCTGAGGTTTTTTTTTTGTTTTTTTAACCATATGATCTAACCTCTAATTAAAATATTTCTGGAATATAGAATCCGCTCCAACTAAACTCTCCCCGTGTATATGGTTGAGGCAGATTGAGAGGTCATTCCCCCACCCCAACCCCTTTAAATTTATTTGGAGAGGCTCCACGCCACACTTGTAATAACTTTTCACTTGGTTTGTGTGTTTTTTAAAATCCTGTTTCATTCGTTCTGCATGCTGTGCAGCTAGATCAGATTTTTTTTAAAAAAACAACGGCAATGGTAGTACTTTAAAAATACAAACTTTCTTCTACAGTTTTCATTTTTAAAAGATGTCAGTTACCCTTGATGTTTAGCAAAAGTTAGTGCTCTTGATGCTGCACCTTTTTCACAGAGTTATGAATGCCATGCTTCTCTACGTATGCCTCTGTTATTTAGCATACTCCTCCACCCTAGCTGGAATTCCATAGGAGGTTATGTATCTTTTTTCAGCAATAGGATATTGGTTTAGAATAGTCCACCTGGATACCAGTGAATGAAAAAGAGTAATGCATGGTGGCTAATATAACTAAGGCTCTTTTGATACTAAAACTGATTGGCTTTGGGCTGGCTGGCAGGCATATTTATTTGTTTATACTATATCCTGCCTTTTCCCCAGCTTGCTTCCCACAATGGCTGTTATCAGACAGAGGTTAGTTACAGCACTCTAAATTTGCAGCTTCTTTCCCAACTCCCCACACACCTGTTTCAGAAAGGCCTTGGAACTCATTTACACATGATAAAAACTATGTGACTTAGATTGATGAACACTTCTGTCATTTACCACTTACTGACTTATGGGGTGGGATGGCAACTGAAATACATTGTAAGTGCAAGGAAACACTGCTCTGCAATTTTTTTTAAGGAAGTAAAATACTGAGGTATGCTGTGGGAACCGAAGAAGGGGGAGAACCATATTAAAAACAAACAGGATAGGATCTTATTCACTGATATGGATAAGGGTAATTATCACCAATCATGTAAGCATTCCCCCCTCCCCAGGCAGGCTCACCTTTGTGTGGCTGGTCTCACACTGGTTGCAAAATCAGTATTGGAGATGGAAAACTGTTTTGCAGTTGCCCTTATGTGCATGGAAAATGCCAGCAGGATTTTAGCCATGATAAAATAGGTGAATCCTCATTAATTCCGTGCAAATATGTATTGGTCTCTGTTAAAAGTGCTCCCAATATAACAGGACCTAATTCAAGAGTTTGGCTGAATTGATAAGAACAAGCCATATGGATTGTATGAACAGTTATGAAAGATATCAAAGAGTCCAATGGAAAGTGATTGAAGTTCTGGTCCATTAATTTTGCATCTCCTAAAGAAAATACTGTAGTGATGTTTTTGCTGGTCAGTGTTGCAAAGTTGCTAGGCTACAGAACAATGAATTCCTGCTGCCGTCAGTAGTGTTTAGACCAATGATCTTTCCCTGATTACTGGATGGACTGTTTGGGTACAGCTGTTCATGGTACCCAGTGCAGTGTAGTAGTGGACAGAGTGCGTGGCCATGGAAACTCACTGGGGGATTTACCACTCCTTGAATATCTCACCTTAAAAAACCCTATTAGGGTTGTTATAAGTTAGTTCCAACTAGATGGCACAAAACTTAGTATTATTTAAATATTTTATATCTTATGTTAGGACGCAGCATAGAGTAGACTGATGACATTATCAAGCACTGATACACAAAGGGTACTTGTTACCCTTCAGTGTGCAAGTCTAAACCAAACAGCTGAAGTCACTATGAGTTTTACTTCTTTTTGCTAAAACAAAAAAGGTTAGATTATAAAAGTGTTGTGTATTTGCTTCCTCTTTCTTAAGCTTTCAAACATGGTTATTTTGGCAATTTGAAATCTTAAGACAAGGTTATTGAATATTTAAAATTATTTCACTCAAAATGTTTTATGGAGTGCGGTGTCAAGTTAAGGGCACTCATAAAGTAGACAGACTTGCACTTACCCATGCAAATCTTAGTTCAGCAGTCTTGTGAAGTCATCTGGAAAGCTGAATAATTTAGCAGACTTGTAGAAGAAGAAAAAATGACTTTGTCATCATCACTCCATACTGTGTAACAACCCTTCTCTCTGCCAGAGGGTTAGAGTAGGTAAAACCTTTATGAATTGCTGCACATTCTGAATTCTATCCTGTGGTGTTCTAGCCTCTTAGAAGTCTAGCAAATGTTATTTCTGAAGTTTTTATTCTTCAGTGTGATGCATTAAGAGTAACATGCAGTGACTATAACCATGCCATTGAAAGTTAATGTGGGCCTGATATTATCCAGTATTGATTTGATTTGTTACAATATGAAAATACTGTATAAAAGCTTGAGTTAGTTTGGAGTGGCTACCTTTAATTTGCTCATGTTACTGTTTTCTAGTCCTTGGACAGAAGCACAACTTTCTGCTGGATTTTCCAATTCTTCCCTGTTTCCCTGAAAATAAGGCCTAACCTGAAAATAAGCCCTAATATGATTTTTCAAGATGCTTGTAATGTAATTCACTACCCCCCCCAAAAAAAATAGGGGGACGTGGTGGCGCTGCCGGCTAAACCGCAGAAGCCTTTGTGTGTTGCAGGGTCAGAACACCAGCAGTCATAAGATCAAATCCACGCGAGGGAGTGAGCTCCCGTCGCTTTGTCCAAGCTCCTCGCCAACCTAGCAGTTCGAAAGCTTGCACGTGCGAGTAGATAAATAGGGACCACCTCAGTGGGAAGGTAAACAGTGTTCCGTGTATAGCTGCGCTAACCACGTGACAACAGAAACTGTCTTCGGACAAACGCTGGCTCTACGGCTTGGAAACGGGAATGAGCACCGCCCCCTAGAGTCGGACACGACTGACTAAAATGTCAAGGGGAACCTTTACCTTTACCTTACCCCAAAAGTAAGCCCTAGTTAAGTGAAACCCTGCTCTCCACCGTTGTGCAGCAACCAGAAGATGATGATATTACTGTATTTGAATAAATGTATATTGTTGTACATGAAAAAAATCCTCTGAAAATAAGCCCTAATGTATTTTTGGAGCAAAAATTAATCTAAGACCCTGTCTTATTTTCGGGGAAACATGGTGTGCAGTGAGATACATATCTCAGATCACTCTTCATAGGATTTGCTCTTGTCCATAAATAAATGTGTGTATCAAGTGTAGTGTTGCAGTATTGTCATATAGGGGGGTCAATCATGGGAAAGGGGCTGGGGGAGAGAGAGAGGAAGGTTGAGGGGGGGAAATATGAAGGGGTGCTCCCTGGGAATGAGAAGGGGAATGTGGAGAAATGGGGATAAGGAGGATTTGTGTGAGGTTTTGGCAAAAATAATGGGGCAAAAGGAGCACAAAAGCAACATATTTGGGGCATATATTTATTTTAGGGTGAGCTTTTTGGGACCCAAACCCTCTTCTTTAGACACCAGGTGTGGAAATACCAGGTGTGACTGTATTGTGCTCCCGTGGTGAGCATCCCACGGCCAGATGAGGGGACAGGTAGCAGAAAAGGGAGGCGGTTGCCTTATCCTGGGGAATGGGACTTTCCTGCTCTTAATTAGCAAACCCCACGAGGCTCAAGTGTATGTCCAGTAGACTTTGTTGTTGCAGAGGTGCTGAGATAACTCACACTTTTGTGCTATCAGTGGGTTTCATGGATAGACCCTGATCTCTGTCCCATAAACAATTCTTAGCATTGCTAATAGAGGGAATGGGGTTTCAGAGGTATTTGTAATCTAAATTCAAGCCATGCTCCCATGTTTACTTGTGATGGGAGTTAAGAGACAAGAAGAGTATATCAGTGCAACCATGTTTTCATTGAGGATGGGGGAATGTTGTTCTGTGTTTTGAATTTCCTTGCTTTTCAGAGTGGGCCTTCAACTATACTTTTTTTTCTTTTTTCAAAATTTTTTTGCTTTAAAATACTGGCTGAAATCCAGTAGCAAGTTGCTACTAGAGTAGGTTCTTTGAATTAGTGGAACTTACCATTGATTCACAACATCTGCATTCAACAGGCCTCCTCTAGTTGTGACTTACTGCAGGATTGCCTTTTTAATGCATTTATGTTTTTATTTATTATATTTTTATCTTTGGGTTTTGTATTTTGTGTAAACCGCCCTGAGTAGACATGTTCTAGATGGGCGGTATACAAGTCTAATAAATAAAAATAAATAAATATGCATTGTTAAAATTTAAATGCATACTTGTATTAGATCTAGTGATATTTTCTCCCTTGACAGCTTCTTCATGTTTGGTGTATGTAAATGTTTTTAGGGCTAGTTTATGTAATAGTGTGTCCATGTGAGCTATTACAACATACCTTCAAGTATGTGATTATTTTGTGTACCATAAACATTGATGTAATAGTCTGGCTCCAGGGTTGCCACAATCAAACAAATTACTGTCATTCTTTCCTCTGGTTTTTACTTGTGGCCAAATTCAAATAACTGCAATTCATTTTATTAAGTTGAGGTCACAACTGTACAGTCAAACACCACGGGATTGCTGCAGGTATAATACGTAGGATTTGAATTATTTTTTTTATTGATCACAAATAACAAATAACTGATTTGAATCAGTCCCGCCACTTTTGCTCTCAACGTGGAGGTTTTTTTCCTCTGCTGCTGGAGTACTTTTCCTTTTTTTCAAGCTGGAAGGATTCAAATGGTCTCTCCCCCCCCCCATGATCAGTTCTTTCATTCTTGTAAATGATGGGGTGTTTGGCTATTGGGGGTGTTGTGGTAATATAGGCAGTTGGGGTGTGATGTTTAGAGATTGTGGAAATATCCACCCCTGCGATCTGACCCCCAAGTATCCCCAAAATTTTAATTTTTAAAAAATAAATGAATTTACTGCTGAGTCATTGCATTAAGTCAGTAGTGTAGGGCTAGATCTCTGCACACACACAAAATTTAAATTTGCTTAAAAAATAGACACAACCCCAACAATATAAGGAAGATTATGTATGTTTCTGTGAGGTATGTGTATATATATCTGTATACTTTGGAAAGCTGCCACCTTTTCCCTAATGCTGTGCAACCTTTTAAAAACCAAGCAGCTTATCAGGAAACCATACAAGGACCAGCAGAGATGGGAACAGAGAAAGGAAAGGAAAAAGGGGCCTGTGGAATAAATGTGGATTGTATCATATCCGTGCGTGGACATGGGCTCAGAAACAATCTGTGGCCCCCGCATGATCACTAACTGGGGTAGTTGCAGCTTCAGATATTATTGAAATATCTTCTGCATATGCGTACAGTGCCTCTTCTGCTCCCTTTGCAGTTTGCCTTAGCATGCTGGAAAGCCTCCATTTAACCACAATTTCACATTTCAACTGAATCAGATCACTGAAGTTACTAGCTTCAAAGCACCAGTTCTTAAACTGATTTCAAACTATGGTTTGGCCCAGCCTGTATAGAAATTGATAGTGATAGCTTCCAGATGAGATTGGAAAACTACAGACTTCCTGATTTACTGCAGTGTGGTACAAAGTGGCTGCATGCATACATACACATACATAGGCTAAAATCTGCTGTTATCGCTACGTGTTAACCTTGTACTGTACTACCATTGTCCAGCCTGAGTGTGCCAACTTTTTTGTTAGATTATTTCAGTATAAGTTGCCTTCTTTTCTTTCTCTGTGATTTTCCTATTAATATGCATTTTAAATGAGCCCAACCAATTACCTCATTAGCTAACATTAATTCTGCCTGTATAGACATAGCAGCTCCTTTTTCTAGTACAGTATCTTAACAATTCGTAGTTCTTGACTGAAACTGGTTGCCCTTTCTCATGTTTGATGGTGTGCTGACGGGGGTCTTTCTTCAGCAATGCTGGTGAAGAACTGCCTTAGCTGTCTTCTAGTATGCGCTGTCGGGCCTTGCGATGTCTCCTGTGCTAAAGGAGAAATAAACTTTAATGAAAAACACACATTTTTATATACTAACCAACTTATTTGTAAGAAAGTCCTTCTCCGGCGGGGGGAGCGCTGGTGGTGAAGGCGGGGAAAAGACAAGGAGGCTCCTCATGATTTTCATTAACATTATTTTTATTACAAACAGTTCGCAACTTGCGTGAATCAAAAGGATCTTGCAACAGGTGATCCGGCAACAGATTATATCTCTTAGGATGAACGCTAGGTGGAACATCTGGATCCCCTAATAGGGAGCCGGCCCAAACTTCTCGCGGTCCGTCATCTGTCTTATGGGCGCGCTCCTCACCGCACACACTGTGCCGCAGCACGGGTGGCGGGCCCAATCGCCCTCCAAAGGCTTCTTCTGAAACTCCGGGCCAGGACGAATCACCCGCCGCCCGCCTCCAGGGTAATTCAGGGGGAAAACCGATACCTTCCATTCTAGAGGCTCAATACCTCTGCCTCTAGCCCCTGTGGTTAATGGATCTGGGAGCAGTCCACCTCCTGTCATCAGGTTGGGGAATCCCGGTGTCGCATCAGTCCCTTGGCTTAGTCCGAGAATGGGTTTCGTTTGCACCCCTCGGTGCCTAGGTCTGTCCGGGTTAAGATCAGTCCAAGTTCTAAAATCGCGCGCGCTTTCTCCCTCTTTTATCTCTTCCCACATAATTAAATCTAACTCCTCCCCTCCTTCTTCTACAAGACACACCTCCGCAGCTTTTTCAGTCACTATCTCCGTTTGATCTAACTCTATTAACCCTTCCACACATCCTCCTTCCTCTACGTCTTCTTTCCCACCAGAGGACGGTACACTGCCTTCAGCTCCTTCACATTATTAAAAAACAAGGGATGGGGAGAGAATCCTATACTTTTAGAATTAGAGCTTTTTATTTATCATCTCTGTAAAAGTAGCAATTCATCATCCAACAACTCCAGTATTTGTAGCTTAGGCCAGCAAAATTGGCTGAAAGAATGGTCCATTATTCTTAAAAGCTAGTGACATTTTCTGGAGGAAAATCTCCTTTTGTTGTTTTAGGAATGTCACATGTTTAATTTTTGCTTTTGGTCAGTAGAAGAGTTTTCTTTTCTCGTGATATATACCCTTTGATCCAGATCCAGATTTTAATTTTTTTTTTAATTACAACTTCCCAAGTCCCCAGATCATGCTGCAAGGAGATGTGAGGTAAACTCCCTCAAAAAGTGCCCTTTCAAAATGCTATTCTGACTATGCAGAGGATGAGGTCCATATCACAAAGGATCTGATGCATTAAGTTTGGGGAACATACAGGATTACTGTTCAGCTTACTGTACATGAATACCACACTTGTATGGAAGACTTGTGCGGACTGTTTTCCCACAACTGTGATATAGGTTTCCATTTCCTTAAGGAGAGTACAGTATTTTCAAAAGTATCTGCACCAACTCAGAAACTATTACACATGGAACGCACCTCACAGTTCACAGAAAATGTGCTTTCAGGAGGCAGCAGCCCAGCCTGGAGTCAGATGCAATTAAACTGAAGTCATCACGCTGTGTGAATTGTTTTGTGACTGGCAAATAGATCTGTGAAAAGACTTCAGGGGAAAGCTTGATGTTTGTGGCAGTGACAGAACTTTCCTACCACTTTTCTGTGTAGTTTTCCTCCCTGTTCTTTTCCCTGTGAAATTGCTTTCACTTCTGGCAGTCACCCCTGCTGTGTTGGAACATTCCCCAAGCGTTGGGAGCAGTTTTTGAGGGAGGGATGCCAAGAACTACGGTTGGATGACAACTAAAAGGCGTATGTGCTCCTTTGTAACACAGACCTTATTTTTTTAAAGTAGAACATTGTGCTGGCAAATATATAGACATGTCTAAATGGTTGTGCTCATTCTGCTGCTTATTCCTACTCTTTCCAGGGCGATGATGCCATTGAAGTGGCAACTAAGCCAAAGAGAAGTTTTTATGCTGCAAGAGATCTGTACAAATATCGGCACCAATATCCAGTAAGAGCATGTTGTAGTTTTGGGGCATTCATTAAGATAGAAAAAAGGCAAATGTGTATTCCCTCAAGCCCTTCAAATCCACAAAAGTCCAGTGGAATCTTTCAAATCCACAAAACTACTGCAGGAACAGTAATCTTAAATGAGAACTAAACAACAGCCAGTTACTGCTGGTGTTGTTAATAGAACACAAATATGTTTGATTTCTTAAATTTGCTGATTTGTTATTATTTGTACTAATGCTGCAGTTAGTTTTGTGGAGAGTTTAGTTAGAGAATGATCATCATATGTAGGAGGTCATACCGGGAAATGTTATTGTCCTAAGAATTTCATAGCACCAGTAGCTGACTTTGCAAATTCTTGCTGCATTCCTTCCCTAGTATATCCAGGAAAGAGATAGAAGGTAGAAAATTCACCAGAAAATGGGCAGAACTATATAAAGAAAACTCTTTTATAATAAAGGTAATGAAAGGGTGCACTAACTATATATAACATAGAAACCTGAAAAGCTGAGTTTATAAAATGACAGGAAAGCTAAGGAGAATGAGCTTCTAAACATTTGATCACATATTTTGTGAATGAACTCCTCTGGCTTCAGTACTTGAGAGGAAACTCTTCTTAGCCCCAGTTTGAGCAAACATGCATAAGATGCATTGTCCGCTCAGGTCTCCTTGAACTCAGTGCAGACTATTTTCTGATAAGTCTCATGTACTCGGCTACTCTGGAAACAACAGAAGGCTAGTTTATCTAAATGTTATACAGTATTTTAATATGCCTTTTTAACATTGATTTGATTGGCTATAGAAATGTGTGCTTTCAGCATGGAATGGCGTATTATATAAATATTCAATGAACATGAATTATTACCATTTTTTGTCATGCCCTATTCATCCTCTTAAACTGAATATTTGTTGTGCCAAGCTAGAGGAAGAACTGTGCATTGCATGTTGTTTCTCCCCACTAAAGTTTTATTTAATGTAAAGCAAGCATAGATGACTTCAGGTTTGTTAGTACAGTGGTGCCTCGCTTAGCGATTGCCTCGTTTAACGATGTATTCACTTAGCAATGAGGTTTTAGGAGCGATCTTGCGCTCCGTTTAGTGATGTTTCCAATGGGGAAATCTTGCATAGCGATGTTCAGGACCATGCCTCGCATAGCGATGACAGTTTGGGTCCCCCTGTTTCACTTAGCGATGTCCGTTTTCACTGTCAAACCTATAGTTCAATGCATTCCAATGGGGGGGGGGGAATTCACCAAAAATTAACAAAGACTCAGAACAAAGCCAAATTAAGTTTGCAAAGGTTTTACAAGGTGCACTAACGATTCCAAGCATTTTCAGCAGTTTTTGAACATTTTAAGACACTTTAAAAATAGCGAAAACGGACCTGTCAAAACCATTGCAATGCATTGAAACCTATTCAATGCATTCCAATGGGGGAACCACGTTTCGCTTAGCGATGTTTCCTATGGCAATTTTTGCTTCAGGATGGTAATCCGTTCCCATTGGAACGGATTATCCGGTTTTCAATGCATTCCTATGGGAAATGGTGTTTCGCTTAGCAATGTTTTCCCATAGCGATGATTTTTTTGGAACCAATTAACATTGCTAAGCGAGGCACCACTGTATACCAGGGCAGTGGCAGCTGAGGACAATTGTGAATAAGCAGATGGCCAATAAGAATTCAGCCTTCTGCCAGTCCTTCCCCACATCCCATCTTGAAACAACCCATGGCTACTTTGCACTGGAAAAAAATCTATATACAGTATCTCAAACTGAGAGCTAACTTTGAGGTGATGGTTGGACATAATACAACAAATCTAAATAGCTTGTATGCTGAAGCATGGTGAGCGTCCAACAAAACCTTGGATCTTGCTTTTAGTTTGGGGTTTACTTCTGGCTTTGTTTTCACTTCTCCTCAAGCAAGCAGAGTAGCATTTCCTTCTGCTAATTTCTTTTGATACAAAGAATGTGGATAGGTTGCAAGAAACATTTGCTGTGTTTGCCATGTATTCAGATTGTAGTTTAAGATGAAATTTTTGTCAAAGTGCATCTATGTTTTATTGTAAGCATACCAATATTATTTCAGCTCTAGCCGTCCTCTCAAGACTTGTTTAGCTGATCGCGCTTTATATTTTTCTTCCTCTCTGCTCAGCAGAACTTTAAAGATCTGAGATACCAGAATGACTTGTGCAACCTCCGCTTTTACAAGAATAAAATTCCTTTTAAACCTGATGGTAAGTAATTGATAGCATGATTAATTTTTAATGAAAACACCCATTTATGCACAGGTTAAAATGGCCCACTACATGCTATGAGAGATAGCCCCACAGTAGGTGGAAAGAGTGCCTGCCCTATTACTGTGGCCTCAGACCGATTCCCAGCATCAAACAATATCGGCTACAAACTTGTGTACTCATTACAGTTAGCTACATAGTGCTTAAAACACACAGTCTTACCTAAATTAATTAAAATTAATTAATGGACACTGAAAACAGATAACTCCCAGCTGCATGATTTTAGGCTCCCATTAGTGTGCCTGCTAAGTTTTGGGGATCCAGGCTTCACGGTCTTGGAGCTGTGCTTCTGTCAGGTCAGACAAACATGTTTCTCATCATGCACCTCTTCCTCGTGTGAATGGGGTTAGTGCAGCACAACTGTTCTGTGAGACCGTGTCTTCTCCCACAATAGAGAAGTCTAACTGGACTTCCTTCCTTCTGCTCTGAGCTTCAGATGCTTGGAAAGCAACAAGAATTCTCATAGCTTTCCAAATATCTTCAAAGCTTTGTGAAAGTTTATGAAGAACCTGTGTGTCTTTCCTACTTTTGGATTCACCCTGGGTAACAGTGAAAATCCTCATGTTTCACTAGGCAAAGAAGAATATTTTTTTTAATTGTTTCAACTTATATGCCATCCCATAGTGCCTCAAGCACTCTCTGAGTGGTTTACAATGTAGTTATGCAAACAACAACTCCCCCCCAGCCCCTCCCCCCACAAGCTGGGTACTCATTTTATTGACTGTGGAAGGATGGAAGGCAGAGTCAACCTTGAGCCAACTGCCTGAATCCATTGGGATCAAACTCAGGTTATGAGCAGAGGCTTGCTTACAGTGCTGAGGGTAAGGGGGCATCTTGTTTCTCTTCTGTTACCAGTGCAAACAGTAGAATTGCCAACGGCAGGCTCACAGATTCTTTTGTAAATCTGTGCTCCTAGTTCATTCTGTATATTTCCTTGTGTGTTGTCCTTTGAGTGGGTCTGGATAGTAATGGGATTTTCATAGTATTTTTTTCAGCACACAGCTATAAGAATTCAGCAGGAATCCCCCCCCCCAACTAGAATTCTGGTAGTTTTAGTCTAAATAATCCAAGTTTTCAGAGGAGCTTCAGGATCCTCACCTGTCCTTGCCAAGGCACTCTCTTCTGAGGACCATTAAAGCATGGACATGGGTGGGGCTTTCTAAGCTTCACCAGTCTTTATGCTCATGAGGCCCTGTAGAGGTTGCCTCTCCAAAAACTACCACTTTCTCGTAACTTCAGATAATTCTAACCAATATGCTTCTGGGTTCCTTTCATTCTATATATGTGAACGATACTTGTTAAAGTTTCCTTATAATACTAAAGGCTTGTATTTGCACATATTTTTATAGGTGTTTATATTGAAGAAGTCCTAAATAAGTGGAAAGGAGACTATGAAAAATTGGAGCACAATCACACTTATATACAGTGGTTGGTAATATTTTACTTTATCCATTCATTTTTAATAAATCTTAGCGAAAGTTTCCTCACTGTCACCAAACTTGTGTGTTTGTTTTTAATACAGGCTTTTCCCACTCAGAGAACAAGGCTTGAATTTCTATGCAAAGGAATTAACAACGTATGAAATTGAGGTAAAGCATGTGGTTCCAATATCACCTTACAGTTTGATGTAACATTACCTCACCTGCTGTTTTGAGACTCTCCAGCCAACATGGCTTGCCCTGCCAGCTGAAGATGATGAGGATTATAATCCACTCTATCTGGATGTTACCAGTTTGGGGCAGGCTAATTTAAAATTTCCAGAGTAAATAGGTTTTATAATGGATTTGTTCCGTTTGTCTTTTTCTAAAACTGTGTTTATAGGAATTCAAAAAAACAAAGGAAGCAATCAGAAGATTCCTGTTGGCTTATAAAATGATGTTAGAGTTTTTTGGAATTAAATTAACAGATAAAAATGGGAACGTAGCACGAGCTTCTAACTGGCAAGAAAGATTCCAACACCTGAATGAGTAAGTACCACCCTGCAGTAGATATCTGTCAGAGGTTGAGATGAGTCATTCCTCTATCTGAGCATGTCCCTACATATGATTAGCATCGCTCCACCTTCAACACCCTAGATGTCCGTGCATGGGCCTTATGCTTGGATAGGCTGCATTTGCATAAAATCCATCATATGTAGCTCCAAATCACACAGTCAATCCTTTATTGTGTATTTCTGTTAAAAGTTATTATTCTGTGTATGGTTGTCCTTTTGAAATGTTCCATGCACATTGGTGTGTCCTCTGATCTCAAAGATAAAAGAGGCATAGCTAGTAAAATGGTGATACCTTCTTTCTTGTACAGTGGTGCCTCGCATTACGATGTTAATTCGTTCCAGCGAAATCGCTGTAGAACGAAAACATCGTAAAGCTAAATTAAAAAGCCCATAGAAACACATTAAAACCTGTTTAATGTGTTCCGATGGGCTTAAAACTCACCGTCCAGCAAAGATCCTCCACAGGGTGGCCATTTTCGCTGCCTGTCTTGCAAGGAATCCATCCCTAAACACAGCGGGGAGCCATTTTATTTACCCAGTGGCCATTTTGAAACCGCCGATCAGCTGTTGGAAAATCGTCGTTTTGTGAAGAATCGGTTCCTGAAGCAGGGAACCAATCATCGCAAAGCAAAATTCCCACATAGGAAACATCATTTTGCAATCGCAAAAGCGATCGCAAAAAGTTCATCGTTATGCGATTTCATCGTTTTACAAAGCGATCGTAAAGTGAGGCACCACTGTACTTTATGGAGAGGTGGGATTGTGTTTCATGTTTGTTTGATTGAAGCTAAAAGGCCTATGTTTGAGAGAGGACAGAGGAAGAGGGAAATGCAGATGTAAAACTATCAGCAGCTATTCCTCTTTGCATATGCATTTTCCCTTTTCACTCATGTCACCAAGTAGTTTGTTTTTCCCCGGTCTTATAAAATACAAAACACACTTTATATAGAAATTAACCATATTATATTATAAAATTATAACCCTGTTCTCAACAATAGCAGTATCCATTATGGAAATAACAGGACTGCTGTCAAAAATTGCATCTGTTTCACTAGCAATAAAATTGACCCTATATAATCATGCTATGATTAGTGCTTCTTCATTCCTTCCCTGTGTAACTGGCTGCTGCTAGGAAATGCAAAATGGTTCTGCAGAGGGTAAGCACTGGCATTAATTGTAGAAGGGGATGACTTACCTACATAGCAACCAGCACTGTTCCCAGAATCCTTAAATCTCAGATTGGGGAGATGAGGTGAGAGTAACTCATCTGTAATACCTTTTAGCATACTGATTTACTGTTCATTGGATCCAGACTTAATCATAGAGACTTTTTGGAATGTCTGGGGTCTTGGTAGCTATGACCTAATTCATTCCCACTTATTTCAGTGTGTTTGCTCTAAGTATGATTAAGTCTAAGTCCAGATTCTTGCTTTCTTCAATGGACAAGATACAGTGGTGCCTCACTTGATGATAATCCGTTCCCTTCAAATCGCTGTTAAGCGAAATCGTCGTCAAGCGAAAGTATAAAACCCATTGAAATGCATTAAAAACCGGTTAATGCATTCCAGTAGGCGAAATACCTCATCGTCCAGCGAAGAGCCTCTATAGGGTAAGCCATTTTCGATCTCTGTCTTCCAGAAATAGGTCCGGAAAACAGCGGGAGGCCATTTTGAAAACCCAACGATCAGCTGTAAAAATCGGTTCCCGAAGCAGGGAACCGATCGTTGTGAAGCGGATTTTCTCCATTGAAACATCATTTTGCGATCGCTATAGCGATCGCAGAAACCTCATCGTTAAGCGATTTCAGCATCAAGTGGGGTAATCGTCAAGCAGGGCACCACTGTACATCAATATGTCTGAATATAACACTAGTTGTTGGTCAGAAACAGTATCATTGAAACAATTTATTTGTTTCAATGATACTTTCAGCAGAGTCTGTTGTAAGTTATCTTTTACGGGAAGAGCTATGAAACAATCTAACTGATTTATTTATCTCAATAAATTGGTAGCATGAAAGGGTTATTGCATCTTAGCTGTTATGGAAAGATTATTCATTCAACAGCTGCCCTTCCCTTTCAATTGTCTCTAAATTATCAGCACTGAAGTGGTGGTCCTCCTTTTGTCAAGGTGACAGGTAATGGTGATTTTTCTGCGACTTTTCCCCCATTTGACAGAAAAGTATTTCCTCTTCTGTTCTCTGTCATTCTGAATCCAGTTGATCTTTCTTTCTAGGTCCCAGCATAACTACTTGAGAATCACCCGTATTCTGAAGAGTCTTGGTGAACTTGGATATGAGAGTTTCAAACCTCATCTGGTAAAATTTATTCTTCACGAGGCTCTTGTAGAAGACACCATCCCCAATATTAAGCAAAGCGCTTTGGAATACTTTGTATATACCATTAGAGACCGAAGAGAGAGGAGGAAACTTCTGCGATTTGCCCAGCAGCACTACACACCCTCTGACCACTTTATATGGGGACCGCCAAGGAAACAAAAAACAGAGGGAAGCAGATCAAGTAAGAAGCTGGCATCACCAGTTTCTCTTCGCACCAGCTCTGCTTCTAAACATAAAAAGGCAAGAGACTGCAAGAATGTTTCCGCAGTTTGTAACTCAAGTGGTAAAGCATCGGATGAGAAAAGGGCAGAACATGCTAAAAACGATGAAGACTGTGATCCGAGCAGGAAATGCGCCAGCCCAGCAATGGCTAAGCAGAGCCATGGTGAAAGGAACAATGATGCTGAATGTAACAGTCCCAAAGTGGAAGAACCTGTTCATCCATTGAACCAGAAAGAGAATAATTCTTGTTCCAAAAAACTTAAAGGCAAAAATGATGAACCTCTTAGCCAAGACTGTAAAAATTCTGAAGCTGTAGAAAAAGATTCCTGTGACAGTAAAAACGATTCCACCAATATATTGGGAAATCTACAGGACAAAGTAGGTAAGGATAAAAACCCAGTGGGATCAAACATAAAAAACAAAGGAGAGACTCAAGCATAAACTCAGATGTCCCAGTTACTGAAGTATTCTGCTGAACATTATAAAATGATGCATTCTTTCACATTTGAATGAAACGGTAAAGGAGAGGGAGATCTTCATACTGGGTCCAGTGCTGAATCTATCAGCTTTGCTCCTGAGGGGTTATAGCTTCTTTTATTTGACTTCATTTACTGTTTGCACTTTTCAAAGCTGTGTATTAAGCTTCAATGCTGCATAACACCCAAGCCTGAGAAAATTCATTTGCCTAGACTGCTCTCTCTCTAAAAACACCTCACATTGATTTTTGTTTTCCCCTCAGTTTCTTCTGCCTCTTCTTTTGATGGTAAACTTTCTGTACTGCCTGGATTCTCAAGAATCCAGGGTCAGATTGTCACTTCAGCAGATAATCACTTGGAACCATCTTTTCAAAGCCTGCAGTTGTTGGAATGTCAGAAGCAGCATGTACCTTCATCCGGACATACAGAAGGGATCTATGAGAGTTAGGCTCATGTCTTAACTTCAGTCTTGTGTCAGATGGAGCAGCAAGTTTAGTTTCTCTCAGCTTCAGCTTCCCATTCAAGAAATGGGAACAACAATGTACTTCCCGGAGTTACTGTAAGAATGAAGTAAAACACAGCTAGCAGACCACTTTTAAAATTTAAAAGTGCTATATAATTCCTATTGCAAGAGTTACACACCAACACTTATTATTCCAGCTTGCTCGTACTACTTGTTGCCTCTTTGCATGCTTGCTTTCTTCTCTTTCCAGAAAACATGGGGTCACCTTCCCTATAGGGCAAGGTAAAGTGAATAACTATTGGGGGAGGGAAATCCAAGTCAGGGTTTCCCATTGACCACCCCCATGGGTCAGATATTGGGTGGAAATAAAACACATCAGAAAAATAAGTAAGAAATGCTTCTTGTAGAAGATTATTATTTACAATTTACTGCTAAATTTATGTAGCAGACTGTGAACACCACATTAAAATAAAATTCTCTTGCTTGTTTAAAAGGGGGATTCCCAGTTTGTTGCCAAAAAAAGCAGCAGCAGAGTTTGCCACCATGTTTGGCAGATTTAGTTGGTGGGGGCATGTAGTCCAACCTGAGTAGGGGAATGAAGGATATAGGGGAGGAAATATCAAGACAGCATGAGTCTAAAAGTTGACAGTTGCCAGAACCAGCACGTACTCTTAAAAGATACAAGGCTTCTCTGAGTCTGTATACATGAGTTCATACAAAAGCTGTAACTATCAGAATCTTTGCACTGGGTGCAAAGACTAAAGGCAATCACAAAGAGTAGCCCCTTTGTCTTCAAGGCACACCTACCTCTACTCCATAAAATTCTGCTTCCTGTTCCCTCTCCTGCCAGCAGGAGATTGAGGCAGCGGAGTTTGTTTAGATTTCTATCCTGCCCTCCTCTTTTATCATGAATGGTTGGAAGGAGCAGCAGACCATGATCTGAGCAACAAGAGAACCTTACTTTGACCCTAGATCATTGGTAGTTGGTGGAACCAAAGAGAAAGTAGCTTCCTGCCACAAAATATCTGTGGTTCTGATCTGAAAGGTATGTATTTGCATAGCTTTACAGCTCCCTCCCCCCGCGGTAGATGACACAGAAACTAAGTACATGAGCATAGCCTTTTCTTTTCAATTTTCTTTCACCTCCTTATCACCACTGGTTCTGCAGGTATGTCAGCTGTAGATAGGCAGGCAGAAATGTGTAGAAATGTACACAAAAATGACATATTAAAATACATTTGGACTGGACCATCTGTGTTGCTGCTTCCAGGCCTTTTCTAAATAAGAGCTTTGCAGCTTTACAAGTGTTCAGATTTGACTTTCTTCTTGTTGATGCCAAAGCTATAATTGAAAGTCCAGTTCTGTCTTTCAGATTCACTTTAACAGATGTCTCGCAGTCCTATGAATGTGGAGGGAATGATGTGTTTGTGTGTGTGCTTGTGAAGGAGATGAGGTCTGCACTGCTAAGAGGCAGCTCCAGATGCAGTATGTGAGGGCATTCAATTCCCTAAGCACCCCTCTTTTTGAAATCAAAGAGCTCTTTACTTAATGACCCTGCCTAGTACTCTGTGTTTGAAATGGCTTCTCTTCAGCCTGAGCATGCAGCAAACTAGCAAAAGGAACTACATTCCCATGCCAGAGATGCTAGCATGATTCAAGACACTCTGTAGTAATGCAATATAACATGGTATAGCAGGGTGGATTTGATTTAAATTATGATTTTTTTGTAAAAATTAATTTTTAACAATTTAAATAAAAATATTTTTATTTAAATTGTGATTTAAATCAATTTGATTTTTTAAAAAAATATACCCCCGAGTGAAGGTTACTTTAAAAATGTAGTGGTGCTTATATATATGGATGGGGAGCAGAGACAAGAACAGCAAAAGAACATACGTGGCGGGATCTAAAGAATCTTGTGTGTCCGTCCTTTGCAGTCTCATGTTCACTCCCATCAACTAGCAACATACATCTTTTGAGTTATTTTTGTTTTGTGCGCTTATAACAATCCTTCAGTACTTAACCTACACACTATGTACTATGTAATAAATAAGTCAAGACACGTACCATAGTCTATTATCTTCATGAAGACATACCCCATGTTATTAAAATAATATCTTTATGCTTTTGTATAACAGAAAAGGTATTGTGTTCATTTTGTAATTTGTGTTTACTTTGGTCTAAAAAGCACTTGAATTTTAAATTTATGTGTCCTAGATAAAATTGGTTCACCAGTGCAGAAGTATTGTTTCAGTTTTTGCTTTTTACTCCTGCATCAAACAGCACAATAAAGCCAGGAAACTCTGTAAATACACTTGCCACACTGAAGATGCAGTCTCACCCATGTGAGAGAGTAAGCTGTATTGAAAATGAAGGAGATTTCTGAGTAAATAGGTGTAGGATTGCATAGTTCATGACACACAACTTATAAGTACAGGGGATTCTGAGATTTGTGATTTTGTTAATCAGTAGAATCCAGTGTCATTCATTTTTATGTCTAAAATGGTAATAATTACTAATAATTCATGTATGTGTTCAAAGCATGAAGTTCCTGTTTTGAGTTGTTATCTTTTGTATTTTCATTGCTTTATGGGATAGTTTACAACTTACATGGTAGATGTTAAGTTTGCTCAGTTTTTTTACTCATACATCGAAGGACTTGTCATTCTTGCTTTAAAAGCACATTCCGTTGTTATATATAGAATGTTACCAGTTGTGACAGCATTTTCTTCATATAAAGAAGTGATGCCCTTTACCTAGTTTCTAATGATGGTTTTCTTAGGAACAAGATTTTGAGATAAATAGAAGTTATTTGAATCTGATCTCTTCTAGAACATCATTTACAGAGTTTCCTTGCCCTTGAATTGCTATTCCAAATGCATTTTTATCAGGGTTTTTAAATTTTTATTACAGCTTGCCTGAGTTAGGTGTGGTGCCAATTTTATAGAAGGCTGGTTGAAACTGCAAGACTTAAATTTTGATAAACTGTGTCAGAGATTGTTCTGTGTACACATACATTCTAATGTAGCGTTTGATGCTGCATCTTTAATTTTTCAAGTTTCCTTGAAAATTGATATAGACCTCTCCATGATTCTTGAATTCAGCAGTGGTTAATATGTACAAGTGAACTGCCAAATTATTGAAAAATTGTTTCACATAACTATATATCTGTGCAGTCGGTTGAACACTAGCAAACAAGGCAGCTTTGTTTAATCCATTTTCCCCACAAGAAACTGTATTTACAGCCTACATCTCCCAGGCATGGGATTTAGTTCACGTGATTGTCTTGATGGAAGTGTCCTTAAAAGAGTGCAGTGTATGAATGAAATTTCATGCACAAATGGCTCCCCTGCCAACCTGCATGTTGCGTGTCTCTATGCTGCTTCACGTATTATTACCTGCTTAACAGCCCATATACTCAAGGCAAAAATAAAACCTTTTCATCACCTTCAGCTGTGTGAGTTGATAATGTTTGGAATTCACTGGTAAATAATGACATCTTGAATTAAACAAGGGTAACTGTTACTATCTGTGGATATATCTTGGTTACATAGTCAAGCAACAGCCCCAGTTGACCTCATAATTATTACTGTGGTGCCTCGCTTAGCGATTGCCTTGTTTAACGATTATTCGCTTAGCGATGAGGTTTTTGGAATGATTTTGCGCTCCGTTTAGCAATGTTCCCTATGGAGAAATTTCGCATAGTGATGTTCGGGACCTTGCCTCTCTTAGCAATGACAGTTTAGGTACCCTGCTTCACTTAGAGATGTTTATTTATTTGATTTTTCCCCCGCCCCTCTAGACCATGTCTACTCGGGGCGGCTTACAGCTGTCAAACCTACAGTTCAATGCATTTCAATGGGGGGGGGGGAATTCACCAAAAATTAATGAAGAGTCAGAACAAAGCCAAATTAAGTATGCAAAGGTTTTACAAGGTGCACTAACCATTCCAAGCATTTAAAACAGTTCTTGAACATTGTAAGACACTTTAGAAATAGCGAAAACGGACATCGCAAAACCATTGGAATGCATTGAATAGGCTTCAGTGCATTCCAATGGGGGAAACCTTGTTTCGCTTAGCGATGTTTCCTATGGCAATTTTCGCTTAAGGACGGTAATCCATTCCCACTGGAACGGATTAACCGGTTTTCAATGCATTCCTATGGGAAATGGTGTTTCGCATAGCGATCTTTTCCCATAGCGATGTTTTTTTGGGGGGAACCAATTAACATCATTAAGCGAGGCACCACTGTATTATTTTGGAACTACAATCTAGTAAGGTTAGTGTAAGAGAGATGATTGGAAAATAGGAACCTACTGCATAAAATAAAATTATCTCTTTAACTAAACGTGCCTTTTTTCTGTTGAGTCTGAAATGATACTAGTTTGATAAAGGGAAATATCTTTTCAGTATCATTATATTTCAATAGTTGGAATTAATATATGTTGTCCGATAATGGCTGATTTTTGTAATCCGATGGAGCTAGCTTCTTTTTCCCCATGCGCTGGAGAATAGGATTTACATCAACAACATCCAAAATGATAAACAAAGCAGTTTTGACTAAACATTATGAAGAATTTCCTGACAGTAAGGACTGTCTGACAGTGGAACTAGACTACCTCAGGAGGTGAGGGAATTCTTCTTCAGTGGGGGTTTTATGCAAAGGTTGGACAGCCACCTGTCAGCCTTGCTTTGACAGTGGATTTCCTACATCTGTTCAGTGTCCCTTGGAATGCTTTCAGCTCTACAACTCTATGATTCTGTAAAGTAAAATATGAAAAACCTCAGAAGTAAAAATTTAGTTTTGAGTGAGAGTTACCGTTTTTTTCTGTTTATAAGATGAACCTATGTATAAGACGACCCCCCCATTTTCTAACCCCCAAATTTGAACATTTGCACAATTGCACCCCTTTGGTCCTGAAGCCCTTTCACGGCTGCTGGCTTCACAAAAGGCAGGGAAAGCAGCTGCCTTCCGTGTATAAAACAACCCTCATTTTTTTTGTCTAATTAAAGTGAAAAGTGTCATTTTATACATGGAAAAATACGGTAAATGATTTTTGTATTACCCCTGTTGTAGCTATGCAATTAATAGCCAAGTAAAGTAGCTGGAAAATAAAATTCAAAATAACCTATAGGAAAAGCATGTAGTCGAAGTGTGTACTACATTGTACTGAGAAAACAGATTCTAAGACATATTAAATGTTTGACACATTGCACAATAGGTTAGCAAAATGTGCAGCGTGTAGCCAGCTGAATAATCTGGCTATATATGCAGGCTTTCAAAACACTTCAACCTATTCATCTATAATAATTTTAAAAATCCTTCTTTTCAACCTTAAGATGAAAATAAAAGTGTCTGTGATGTTTGGATAGTAAGCAGCACTACCAACTTTTTTCTCTTCCTGGAAGTACATCTGTGTCTTCAATTACTGCAGGTCCGGCAGCAATATGGTAAACTCATAGCATGAAGGTGCAGTAGTGGTAAACATTTCACCTATCATGTAACACAATACCAATAAGGTAGCTCTGAACACAAGAGCCTTGCTATATTAAAGCAAAGCAAACAAGCAAAGTGTGCTGCTTATATACACTACCACCTCGTAGAGTTTAAAGCACTCTGGGCAGTTTACAATGTCATTATGTAGCCTAGACACTGGATTAGACAAGCCCTTCCCAAATTCTTCCCCTCTAGATGTGTTGGACTACAACATCCATCATCCTTAGCTGGGACAACCAATATTGCACTGACTGGGAATGACCAGTGCCAGAAGGTGTCGTCTGTTGAAGCCTGGATTAGACTGGATTCGGTGTTATCTCCTTAGTCTCTCGAGGATAATTGCCCTAGTCAGCCATTATATTAGCAGACACCTCTGGTAACTGTATAAGCAAAGGCAAGATGGGAACATATTGGTTACTGTCTGTAATAATATGCTTTCTAGTGACACTTTTTAAGAAGACAGTTGACAGCTTAAAAAAAAATTTTTTTTTTAGCTTTTGAGTACTTCCAATAAAAAAAATTTGTGAAAATAATGCATGCCCAGATGTGTGGTTTAACACAGTGGTCCCCAACCTTGGGCCTCCAGATGTTCTTGGACTTCAATTCCCAGAAATCCTGGCTAGCAGAGGTAGTGGTGAAGGCTTCTGGGAGTTGTAGTCCAAGAACATCTGGAGGTCCAAGGTTGGGGACGACTGGTTTAACAGATACCCTATGAGTTCCCATAGCACTACAGTCCAACACTTATTCTGTAATCCTGGGAGTGTTGCTCACACCTCGTTAAAGGACTAGAACTTTGAAGGTTTTCTCATTTCTGCTTTAAAAAGCAATCCATGTTTCACATTATTTGTTACAGCAAGGTACAAAGTGTTAGACTCAAGAAAGGGAATGTATCCTATTTCCGACATAAAGCCCACATGACCTGAATATGTCTCATCATCTTAGGCTTTGCAGACTTGTGACTACCTGACTCTTCAAAAGACAATTACTCTTTTTCAATAATTTGCAGACTGACTGATGGGTCACTGCAGATGGCATTTTTAGCAACATTTTACTGGATTTCCATTTTGGCAGCTAATATTTGGCTTTGGCGATTCTGCTAATCACAGAATTTGAGAGCTAGATTGCCATTTGGGAAAAAGGTTGGTGAATGGAATAAAAAAGGGTGAGTTACCATTTTCAAGTGGCCCTGGCAGTGGGTATTAACAGGTAAGACATAACTGATCCCAACAAGTAGATACATGTTACAGACATGTCTTCAGTAACAAACTG